GACCTGGGCCGCAAGAAACTTACAAGTTGAATAAGGCAGCCCAATTGCAGCTCACATGCATGCACACACGTGCACCATAAAATCCTAGCTGCAGTTTTGATCTCACATTGGATGTTATGCATCCATCTGCCTCGAGCCCAGAGCCAAGCCAACGGCTCTCTTCTTTGCATCAAACCCGGAGCCAAACGGCTCTTTATGTCCATTCCTTTGTGTTTTTTTTTTGTTTTTTTTTTAATTGTGGAAAAATGAAAAAGGCCCTCTGCAATTCCTTGACTCCCGAGCCGAACAGCTCTCCATCTCTCATTCGAACCATCATTGCATTCTCTCTCGATCCTTCTTTTTCTCTGAGCTCCCTTCTCCCCCTTCTCCCTTCTCCCCCTTCTCCATTCTCCCACACACACGCACAGAGACCCAAGGTCTCTCGATCCTTCTCCCACACACACGCACAGAGACCCAAGGTCTCTCGATCCTTCTCCCACATTGCCTTCTGCTCCTCCCTCGTCAGCGCCGTCTCTCTCCTTTCTCTCTGCACCGAAGGTCCGAGACCCACATACACACACGCACACCATCGCACCTGCTTCAGGAAGACACCCATCATCATCAGCAACCTCGTCTTTCTTCATCTCCTTCTCGTCTCTGCAACTCGACGAACGCAGGAACTCCGGCGAGTTTCTTGAATTTCTCCGGTTAGGTAAGCTTCGGGTTTGCCTCTTTCTGTTCTAGATTGAACCTTATATGTGAAATTTAAGTTCAAAATCATGTTTTTGCAAGGTTTTTGGGACGAAATCGGCTCAGGAATAGGCACACCCATCTCCGGCGAGGCCGTGGGTGTCAACGAACTTTCCGAACACCTCCGACCGTTTCACCGCAAATGGAATATATAAAAACGTTCATCTCGTCTTCTATTTCATTTTGATACCTAGATTTGAGTCTAGGGTCCTGTTTTACAGTCGGCCGGAGCTGTAGAAGCTCCGGCGTTCTTCTCCGAGTAGCACAGTTCCAAAAATATCGCGATAATTTCAAAAAATATCACGATATTATGGATAATATCGCGATATTTTGACGAAAACCCGTTGGATACCTATTAAAATATCGATACCGTGAAAAATCGATAATATCGGCTAAATATCGCCGATATTATCGATTTTTTCTTCCTTGCTTGGTGTCAGCCACACCAATGAGTCGAGACTAGTCACTCTTCCTAAGAGAAGACATATCACGTAATGATCTTAATGGACTGTCAATGCCCAATTGGCAATCCTATGATCAGAAACGCTTAGGGTATGTATACGAAAGAGAATGGTCTCTTGAATCTAACTTCTTTAGATCACATTCTCCCAATTACATATTCCTTGGACTTATTGTTTAAGCATATAACATTTATATGAGATGGCTTAAAATAATAACCTTCGCCCTTTATATTAAACTAGATTAGTTTAACATGTGAAATGTCCATAAAGTATCACCATATGATTGGTTTTAGGGTACATTTCCAACATCAAACCCTAGCTATCTTTGGGTGTATTTAAACTCCTTTTATGATGTAAAGAGACGAGGAATGAAGATATGAATTTACTTTGATTTTTTTTTTCCATTTTCTGCATTTGTTTTCTTGCAATTTCCCTTTTATCATGTCTGATCCTATCAATTGGTACCAGAGCCAAAGATCCACTGTGGATCTGTGGTTTGCCTCAGTCGATCCCACATTTCTAGCATCGTGGAGAAATGTGATGGATGATTTTGGTGGACTAGCGTTCTATTGGAAACTAGAAACAAATGTTTCTCATTATGAACATCCAAATTCGGCTCCACCTCCACCACCTTATCCTCCAGATCACTACTAGATTCCATATGGGGTATAAGCCTACTTTTCCTTGCTCCGATTGTACCTATCGATCGCTATATTACCCAGCCTCGTATATGTCTGAGCTTCCCGTAGCTTCTTCATTTACCAGTCCCATTTTCCTCCCACACCCCGCACCACATTCCGTTACGTATTCTGACTGCATCTCAATCCCTAATTCTTATGCCACAACATTCGAACAACATTCGTGGGTTCCTAATTTTGACAGCCTCATTGCATCTCTTGCCACCAACAATGGCTTCAACATTGTCAGAGATGTTCGCCACACTTCTAAGCAGCCGTTGCTTAAATCAAGGCCAGTAGAGAAAAATCTTGTTGTGGTTTCCCTCGTGCTAATGAAGAGGAAGCCTTCGTCTAGGAGCCTTTGCCGACGACAATATTGGAATTCCTTGATTTTGTCGTTAGTTCCTACTTCCCTAAGGCCGTCGACAAATTCCACTACCGTGGTGGACAATGTCAAAATCGAAGCTCACAAACAAGAGGAATTTTAGATCCGCATGGCTGAATTCCAAAAGACAATGACAACACTCAATAACCACCAAGCTGTATTACAAGAAGCCCTTATGGAGGAACTTCGACTGCTTCAAATGGCGAGGGTCCCTACAAATTCGACCATGAACATTCCAGATTTAGACTTCCTGAGGACAACAAAGTCCACACCCGCTATTTTGGAGTTCACAACAGCAGTGCTCGTGCCTGTTCTTCACTGTGAAGGATTAGGCAAGCAGGTTACGAGTGGTACGTGTTTGGATCAAAACTTGAACTTTGGGCTCAGGAAAGGGGCTGGCCCAAAAGGATGCCTAAAGGAAGAGCTGGCCTAAACCCAGCCAAAACCCAGAAAGCAAAAAATGGGCTTTTTTGACTTGGTGCAGCTCATGAAGCCCACTTACTCACCTACCCAAAAGCCAAGTGGTATAGATTGACCAACTATACAGCCCATAAAGTACTTTATAATGGCAGAACAAGTAATATAACTTATGAGTCACTGCCTCTCAAGTTGCATTCGGGCAAGGCTGCTGCTACAAAAGGCCAAGCTGAGTTGTCTATTAAAGAAGAAAGAGAAATCAGGATTAAGGACACTCAAACAAACAAACAAATGCAAGCACAAACTCTGCTCAAAGCCAGATTTGCCTTCAGAACGAAGCTATAGTCAGCCCAAGCCTTCATCCCTCTCGGGACAAGCCTTCACTCAAACCCTTGTAATAGCTCTGCTACCCTGTTCAACCTTGCTGTAGTATCGATTTCTCTTTGTAAAACTCCTTTCCTTATCTCTCCCTAAAAGCTCTCAGACCCTTGATAAGCCACAAAGATAGGAACCTGCAAGACGACCAGACTTGCCCGACCTTCTTTGTTTTTTGTCTTTTCATTCATTAGCCTAGCAATATGTTGTATACTTCCAGTTGTATTCATGTTATTTCTAGTAAGATGACTATTAAAAGAATCTTTTAGTGCTTGGATCCGATTTGAATATATCTTCATTGTTCAAACCAGATCTAAGTTCTAAGCCCTCGGGCATGTAAATTTGATCAGTTGAAAGTCCTTGGCCTCAAGGCATAAAAAAGAACCTTATGTGGACTTAACCCATCCACGATAGCCCTTGATAAACAAGATGTCCGAAGTTACTTGGGGCGCAAGTAATCGACCTATCCCTTTGTTTTATTTCTATTATATTATGATTATCATAGAACGCTTAAGCATGGAATGGATTCTGATAGGAAGCCTCAAGGCCTACACCTAAGGCCCCACAAAGGCACCTATTTGGATTCATTCCATTTCGCGGTCTGGAACGTTTGAGTATAAGAACGAATTCTGATGGGAAGCCTCAAGGCCTACACCTAAGGCCCCACAAAGGCACCTATTTGGGTTCGTTCTATCTCTCAGATTCGGGTAATCAGAAGTATAATAGTTGTAAGGCTCCTGCAATCAATCGAACGAATATTATATGTTCGAGCACTGGTTTAGTTATTGACGGGAAGCCTCAAGGCCTACACCTAAGGCCCCACAAAGGCACCTATTATAGCTAACACGGTTTCTCGGGCATATATATATATATATATATATATATATATATATATACACACACAACTAAAACGCGACATCCATTTTACATCTGCCATGCTAAAGATGGCAGTGGCACGCCTGAGTACTTAGAAGTTAATCTTGATTGTGAGCCTCAAGGCCTACACCTAAGGCCCCACAAAGGCACCTCTCAAAGTTAACGTTGTCATTCTCTTCCAGCCTTGCCCGATAAGTAGTGCCCGACGAGTCTTGCCCGATAGACCGTGCCCGACGAGCCTTGCCCAACAAAGCTCGACAGTGAAGCAGAAGCCCGACAGCAGCCCTCAACCGGCGTCAACCTTCTGGGGAGCTGTGCGCTCGTCGGCCAGCCCCGACAGAAATTCCTGACGCAAACAGTACGGACTTCGTGTCCTCTCTATGTGTTTTCCAAGACATGATGCAAACTTCGACTACGGAAGGTGAAGAAGGGATAGAGTCTCCACTAGAGGGTTTGGATTCAACACTTGGATTGAACTTTTCCCGTGTAGTTGAATCAGTGTCTTCAATTCCTAGCCCGACCGCTGCTCTCATTCCCTTCATTAATAATCCCCACTCTGCTTATGGAGCCACTTGCGATTGCAGTCATTCTCAGTCTGTTATTGCCTCGTATCTACACTCCCAAGAACTTGCTTCAACCTTCGAGGCATTTTAATCCATTACCAAATCGGCTACCGTTGCCCTCTTCACCATCGCCACCTATGACTTCCAAATCTACTTTGGAGCCGCTCATAATCTATCTGCATCCATCCATGGTTACACAACCACATTTCTGTTCTATCAATCTCACTACAGCTCCACCACCAAATGTCACTATGTCAATGTTGGGCTCTCCTTCATCGACCTTTGCCTATACTATTCTGACTTCTCATGGGCCATCGTTGGTCCCAAATTCCACCAACTCCAACGATGCACTACCCCATCCGAATGGTTAGACAAAGGTGTACCAAGTATGGGTTTCTTGCTCACACACTTAGAAGCCAATTTGCAACTTATGCACCTTCGTAAGCTCTCTTTCCTTGACATTACGAAAACTGGACTTGAGATATTTATTTCCTTGAATGATTGTTTTGGGGAGGGTTTTATTTTATTGGCTTCCATGTGATGTTTTTTTTAATGATTCAAGCGGGTGGTTTTGTAAGTACCTTGTGGGAAAATTAGATAAAGGCATTTTGAATGCAGTTGAACTATTTGATGAAATGTCCAAGAGATGGAGTGAGGGCAATATGGGCACTCTATTTGTTTGCTACTCCAGTTATCACCCAAGACTGAGAACCTGCAGCTTGTATTGCAATGGCCTTCGATTAAATGCCAAAAGTCCAGTTGCATCTCATGTCCTAATCAAATTGTTTTCACCTTACTCGGAATGTGACCAGGAAATCTCTCAGCACAAGTAACATGCAATGCTCCTATGCAAGCTGCAAAGTTTAACATGAATCTGGTAACTTTTCTAGTTATAATAATTTGTATATTAATTCATGCTTCATTTCCCAAACACGCTTACAACTTCATTGATTCTTTTTAATGTTATAGCTATGACCAAAATCTAAGTAACTTTTTAATTATAATAATTAGTTGACAGGAGGTTAACCAATTGCTAAATGACATGCAAACTGATAGGAGCATATATATGCAACTTTATTATCTTATTTCTTTGCATTTACTTGGATAATTTCCATTTATTGTAGTAATATAAGTTATTTTCGTATTATTGTAGGTCAAGTGAGTAAAGATGACAATAAATAGTCAAATGGAGCAATTTGGAGCAGTTTTGGACTTGGATTGGATAGCATGCATAGATAGCATATGGGCTGGACGTTTTGGTGTTTAAAAGGATGAAAGGGCTTGAAGAAATCATCTTATTTTGAATACTTTAAGAGCCTAAAATGGATAGTTGGAAGCCCAACTCGCCCAAGACCAGACCATAGCCCACAAGTGGCCCAAGATCCGCCAGAAAAGGCCCTCGTAAAACAGCCAACTTGCGAGCTTTGCCCCGAAGTGCTCAGAATGAATTAGAAAATGGGCCATATATGGTTGGAAAGTCGTGGAAGTCTTCTTTCTCATGGTCTTTACAAATTGTGATTCGGAGGTTTCTACAAGAAATTATGATAGAAAAGATGAGTTGTTCAGTTACAAAAAGTCTCATTGAATACTTATTCATGATGTACTTTCCCTTCAATTAAGGGACTTTGCTTTTCTTGTTATTGTAAATAGATATGGAGTGTTTTAAGGAGTGCCTTAATGAGTGCTTTAAGGAGTGCTTTAAGGAGTGTTTCAAGGACGTGACCTATACGACTATCCATATCTTATCAATCAATGCTAGTTCATAAGTCGGAGTCACCTATAGTTACATGTACGGCTTATCCATATCTCATCAATCAATGCTAGCTCATACGTCGGAGTCACCTATAGTGACCTGTATGATACAACTTATCTATATCTCATCAATCAATGCTAGCTCATAAGCCAGAGTCACCTGTAGTGACCTGTACGACTTATCCATATCTCATCAATCAATGTTAGCTCATAAGTCGGAGTCACCTATGGTGACCTGTACGACTCAATCCATATCTCATCAATCAATGTTAGCTCAAAAGTCGGAGTCACCTATAGTGACCTGTACGACTTATCCATATCTCATCAATCAATGCTAGCTCATAAGTCGGAGTCACTTATAGTGTACAACTTATCCATATCTCATCAATCAATGCTAGCCCATAAGTCGGAGTCACTTATAGTGACATGTACGACTTATCCATATCTCATCAATCAATGCTAGCTCATAAGTCGGAGTCACCTATAGTGACCTATACGACTTAATCCATATCTCATCAATCAATGCTAGCTCATAAGTCGGAGTCACCTATAGTGACCTGTACGACTTATCTATATCTCATCAATCAATGCTAGCTCATAAGTCGGAGTCACCTATAGTGACCTGTGTGACTCAATCCATAGCTCAACAAATATGCCTGCACACGAGTTGGAAACACCTAAAGTGGTCTGTACGACAGGACTGGGTGTAAATAAATACGCTCAAGTGCTACGATCACATGAAGACTGTGTGAATGATCACGGGTCACCTACGAGTCACAACCACCTATAATGGTATGTACGACAGGACTGTGCACCTTCCTTGGATCCAAGGTGAGTGTAAGGTGCGAGAGGTGAACATCACATGAAGGACTGTGCCCTGGCTACGAGTGGGAGCACTAACACCGGGGTGCAGGTTTATGAGCTCTAAATGCATCTAATATGGCATGCACGACTCATGGGAAACCTGTACGACAATGCCTGAGTTTCCTATTATTGCAACCTGTACGTGACACACTCCGACCGAGATCAAGGCATGTTGGTCGTCACGTGAGAGTGATGTAACCATGTGCATAGTGCGGAAGCAACAATGATAAGAATTATATGAATAATTTAAAACCGAACTACTAGAGTGCACTACTAAACAGGAAGTGTTAGGAGTAATATACAGAAGTAAACACTCCCAATCAGAGCATAGAAAGTCTAGGTGTAGTCCAGTAGGACAAATACTAGTTAGCTAATATTGTAGTAGTGATGGTGGCCCACAACTGCACTTGCTTCCCAGTGCGTGACACCAACGAGGCAACGCGTGCAGGACCTGTGTCCTATCCCTAGGTTTTTCAGTGTTCTAAATCACGTGGCGCCCTCCGTTTGTCAAATTTATTTCCTAAATAGTAGTTTTGGACGATTTTCCATAGATTGTTGATTAAAGCTTAATGATTATCACATGCTTGTTAGAGGATCGGAAGAGTTTAGGCAAGGAGCTTATTGAGGAGAGACGCTCTGCTTACCTGTGAGTGGACCCATTCAAAAAAATAAACATTGTTCCGATTGTACATATCTATATATGCTTTTATATGTCGATGCATATTACCTATGTTACTCTTAGGTAAGATTTATACTTAAATTGTATTAGATGATTTCTTAAGATCATTGGTGATTTATTTTCACCACATGGTTATCATAAATATCGTATAGCTAGCTACAACCGTAGGACTTATTGTAGGTACCTTTTTTTCTAGTAGAGGTAGAATGTGCTAGTAGACATTAGATAACGATCAGGTAGACGTCACTTCACCTGTTTGCTATACATTACCTTATTTGTGATTGATTTACTTTCTTTGACATGACGAGCAAGATTGAGTTGATCTTGACTACTATTATTCTAGTATTACTACTATGTATGTAGTTTTCACTGTATATGTTTTCAAAACAGGGGTTATTATGTTGAATGATTTTAAATGTGATAACACTAGTCCACTCGCATTTTGTTTTGTCAACCCCTTCAAGATGTAACGAGAATAAAGAGAACATCGGTGGTGATGAATGGGATTGGCAGTGAGGCTTTCATCCATTGGATTTAGGGTGATGTTTCATTTACTGCAGTTTTATCTTTATTGTAATAATTGCATGATCGCACTATTGATTATGCATATCACTGCACTTTTATGTGTTTACTGTTGTGTGAAACTTCTAGTTGCTCTGATGTTATGTGATAATAAGGGATTTAATCTTGAGATAATTTGTGTCCCCAAGTGAGGAGATTGATAAGTGAACTTGTAGCAACTTTGGATTTATTATTATGAACGTTTTTTGTTCAAATTCTTGCACATAATTAATATCTTACTATTGCTTCGCCATTAAGTTAGTCTGTGACGTCATCTCTCGATGGGGTCATATGGTCAATTTAGTGTCGGTCAGCACATTACGGCCTCGTAACTTGTGTTATTGGGGTCGGGGTGTGTCACAATCAGTGAGTCCTAAAGTTTATTTTGATTTAAGTACTTTCTAGCATCAATACATTGTTTTTGGAGAAATATCTTAAGAAGGGCTCTTTTATAAACTTCGCATAGGCCCTCGAAATCTTAGAGACGGCTGTGTGAACAACATCGTTATGTTGGAGTGGGGGCTTTGAGGGTAATTTTAGTAAGTACATGACTTATATTAATGTAATTTTTAATATACAAAGTGCAAAGTGATTTCAGTATGTGAAGCTAGATTGATCCCCACCGATCTCTTCCTCCTTAACAACTAACAATTTAACCCACTAACACTATTGTTTGTAAAAAATAAATAAATAAATGTATTGTTATTCAATATTGTCACGGGACACAAATAACCCGTGAAAGTTTATTTCAATAATCGCATTAGTAAATTATGACTGGGTACTGCCAAGCCAGATCGAATTACTTGCAGCCCTTACTGACAAGCCTGTAATAACATATATTTTCAAGCATGGGAACATGAGAAGACATTTACGATGAAGTAGATTATCATTTACCTACTAAAACGCTTTCCCCATTTAATCAAAATGTAATCACAGTACTAATCTTGGCAAGGACATTCCAATCACATAAAATATGTAGCACTGGTCACGGCCAAACCCAACTAAATTTAACCAAGCCAAGTTATAACTAAGACGTCGAAGGAAATTGTAAAAGACCCAACCTAAGCCATAATCCGTTGATAGGAATCAAATTTTACTTTCTAGGAAACAATGGATAAAATAACAACTCATTCAGGACAAAGTTCAACAGCACACCAGTTATGAAATACAACAATTTGCTTATATAGGAATATGGATGGATGCATCGCCAACTTATTCCGAAAGGTAAGCGTCAACCCTTAAGGAAAACACGTTTTGTGGCGTTCATACTGTCACCAGACGACAATAGGCACGAAAATGTCTGTTTTAACTTGGGTGATCTACAAGAGACATGAGCGATTATACTATGTGCAGACATTCATAGAACTGTAAACTGGAATTGCACCAAACCTTTTATAGAAAAAATCATTAGTTGCATTGCGTGAAATACATTTGTTGCACTAGTTAAGTTTGGGAACTGGTGTTGGCCACCATGGAAGCACAAATGGGTGGATACCCTGTTGATCCAAATATATGCCGAAACTCGGAATCCCTGGAACTAACTCTAGCGTTCTTGCGCTAAGGTTGCACATCAGAACTTGACTATAGTCATCTAAATAGATGATATCCTTATAATTTGGGTGGAAGCCTAGCTCAATTTTGATGAACTTTTGGCCTCCATAGTTTAGGAGTAAAGGGTGTTTGGAATAGGAGTCTATTTGATACAATGAAACTTCATCAACTACCAAACGCCACTTCAAATCATCTCCTCTTCCAGCAACCTCTTCCAACTCCCAGACACTGAAATTATCAGTAAACTCTCGTGGGCACACCTGCAGACACCCTTGGCTTGAACCAAGAGACATATGACACGAAGTTGTAGTTAGTTGAAAATCCGTAGAATCAACTGGCCCCAGAGTTATACAACATTTATCAACAATAATATTACCATCAGCAGTAGTAGTACCGAATGGATCCAGCTCAAAAGTAAAGGCTGTAAAATCATCCGTGGTTGAAAACTCATCAGAGCCGTGCCAATACAACTTCCCATTGTGAGCAACACCACCACTACAGATCTCAGTATAACACCTTGGGAATGCTACATTAACTGACTCTCTCCAATAACAAGTCTCTGAAAAGAACAAGTCGACATGGCCATCTTGAAGTATTCGCACAACCCTGCACCTGTACTCAGCATTCAGCTGGATGGTAGTATTAGTATACGAAGTGGTAGCGGTACTAGTACAACTAAGTTTGTGTTGTGATTTGCAATGATGATCATTAACACTGTCGTCTAAGTCGTCTTTCTTGGAGGAGCTGTTGTAGTAGGGTTCACAAATGAATCCGATGGGAGGGCATATGCATTGGACTTCTGGGGGAGGAGGAACAGCAACCCACTGCTTGGTATATGGATTACAGATGTATAACTCACGCTGATCATCCTTTGCTGGGCAGCACAAAAGCAAATCATTACATGCCCCTAGCACAAATAATGTCTCTGCTTCCAGAATAAGTGGTAGCTGCAGATTCGGAGTCAGATCCTCCTCCGTAATGCTTGGAAAAAAGGTTCCAGTTCCCACAACTAGAGTGCTAAACATGGGATTTTGCAATTCACGTTGCAGACTTCACCCCAACGCTTGGACACACATTTGCATTGAAAAATGAATTTACTGCAAGGAAGTCGACACAGGATTTCCACCAATAAATGCTCAGACAGATCATCAATTTTATGAACCATGGAATCTGAGATTTTAGTACCTGAAACATAGCTGGTTCCTTTTGTACAAGGATCACCAGGATCCATGGCTCGCGGCAGAAATTTCAAGCTTGCAGAAATTAGAAAGGGCGTGATTGAAAAAGGGAGGAAAATGGGATTGATGATGGCTCACTGTAAATTGCTACCCAATTTAACGTGTTTCATTGGGACATATAAAGTACGTTTTGAAATTATTTTCTTTGTTTTGAAATAAAAAACAAAACTACTGAAGATTCAATTTCAACCTTGGCAAATGATAGCAAGACTCATTCAAAGAGCAAGTTTAAACAGACTCTTCATCCACGTGTATTCCACTTGCTATCAAGACGGGAATACACATGGGCGGAGTCTTTTTAGACCAGCTCTATGAGCGAGTCTTGCTAGCATTTCCCTTTCAACCTTTAGTGTCCACAAAATTTGGGTAGCAAAGTTAGAATGTTAGAAAACCTCAGCGTAGTAATTAAGAGCAAATAGAGAAACAATACAATTACCATCTTTCGCAGATTTCTACCATACAAACCAAATAAAAATTTACCTGTGTTTACTCGATTGAGATTTGTATGGATATTTTACCATAGAAATCAAATACATTTAGGTCAGTTTATTTGTATGGATATTTTCCCTTTCATCTTGCCATTCGATAATATTTTTTTCCTTTCCGCAACATCATTAGCAAGATTGTCACCGAGTCTCTGGCAGTAAGATAAGTAAACATTTGTGCGCCTCCAAGTTCCAAAATGTTTGACAATTTTGAAAATCTTACCAAGGATACGCAATCACTGAAATCTACACGTCCTACCTTCGGTGGAAGTTTTGGAATTTTCTCAAGCCTGTTGCATCCATGCAAGTTTAGAATCCTCTGTTGGAGGAAGATGGATATGAGAGAATATGGAAGAGTTTTAAACATAAAACTGAAGCTTTATTGATAACTGACTTTATTGCTTCCCGATACTTCAAGTTTGAATAAGGTAGACACACAATCAAGAGTAGCAAGGAAATTCATTTCTGATAAACTGCCTCCCTGGACGTTTAATTGCTTAAGATTGGGTAGCGCTAAAGATATGTAACTGTCATGTGAAATCCTTGTGCTAGTTGGAAGCACCAAAGGAAGTGGTCGTACACTACATGAAACTTCAGACTTCACCTTATTCGGTAATGTAACAAGTTTCGGGCATCCATATAAATGAAGACCCTTTAAATGAAGATTGTTGTGTAATTGATAGGGGTGAAATTTTGCCAAATTACCATACCAACCGTACGATACTAAAGTTGTGCCAAACAATTTGTACCATTGGTAATGGTACGGTATTTGTACCGTACCACACATTTTCGATACGATAATGGTATTCAAAACCATTACCAATGGTATACCGTACTGTACCACTACTATTAATATTATATCATTTATTTATTCATTTATATATATAATTAGGTATTATTATCATTATATATGCACCTTATATTTTTTTTCCTAGTCATTTATCCAAAATCATCCTCTCACCCTCTAACCTCTACTTTCCCAATAAAAAAAAACCTAAGCCTTCTTGCCTTTTGTGACTTCATCTTTTCACTCACCTTGCCATCGACTTCATCTCCGTGGCTCCGGTTCCGGCGACTCTCTCTCTCCGCAGTCCATCTCACATTCTCCTTCACATGGTCTAAAATATCCATAATATCCCGATATTTTCATCGAAATTTCCATGTTTTTGGACTACCAATATTTTTTTGGACTACCGATATTTCCGATATCATCGATATTTTAGACATTGCTAAGTCACTCATGTATCTTACCATGCAATGTATAAAGTGTAAAATATTGTACTAATTCATTATATATAAATGATTATGGTGTGTTTAAATTTCTTTCATTAATTACTACATATTTTCTACACTCACAATGTTTGCCAGCTCGCTATATAATCAACTTAAATCAGTTATATCTATCATGCAATGCATTTCCTTCCAATTTTTTGTGATAAACTAATAGATAATTGACTAAATAAACATCTTGCAAAGTTTCAATAAAAATTTCCAAGTTTTTCTTACAATTTTCGTGGTTTTTATTCAATTTTTATCGATATGATAATATCCCGATATTTCCATCGAAATTTCAGTGTTTTTGAACTACCGATATTTCCGATATCATCGATATTTTATACCTTGCTCCTTCATCAAATTGGGTTGTCTTTCTACTTGGCTTCGTCTATCAAGTTAATTTTTGTACAATTTTAAAGAATGTAGAGATAGAATTTAGGAATCTTTGTACTATTTTTTTAGGGATGCTCGGGTCTTTCAGCAATTCTTCCATCTATTTACCTGTTTTTTTTTTTCTTAAATGAATCTCTGTGAAATTCTCATAATTAAATAAAAAAGTTTTAGAAACCCAAATAGAGTGGCCAAAACAAGTTTGGGCCTTGAATTAGGTTGACAAAACAAACCAAGTTATGGCCCAAAATAAAGTGGTAATTACCATTACTATACCATGCCAACCGAATTATTTGATATGCCGAAATTCAGTATACCGAAAGTTTGGCACCGTAATAATATTAGATTTTACCATACCAAAAATTTGGTATGGTAATTGTTACGATAATCATACCAATACCACCCCTAGTGATTGATTGATGAAATAATGCAAATATCTTGTAACAATAGTGAAGAAGTGGAGTTGGGTTCTAACATTGGTATCAGCTAGTCGTTTGATTCCCCTCAATCCTTCATCATTGTATGACGAATCAAGCTATCAGGAAAGCTATGGAACCCTACGTTTCTAATCTTGAAACCATGATCGCTGACCTCAAAAAAAAGTTCAAAACCAGTCAAGATATGATCTTGTTGCAGTTGCAATCGGTCCCAGGAAGAGGAAGTGGAGGTTCATTTGGTGAATCTTCGAAAGCAACGCTTGCAAATCCCAATCTTGCAAATGGGACGAACCCTAATTTTGGCCCCAATAATCGTCAAGGTTTTGGTCCAAATTACAATCCGCCAGCTCGTACACCATTCTTGAAGATGGAGTTTCCCAGATTCATGGAAGGAGACGATCCCTTGCGTTGGATATATCGAGCAGAGCATTATTTGAGTTCTGTTTGTGTTTGAATATCCCTTCGTGTGCTTGCCCCACTTTTCTTATGTTAGTGATGGGCAATCTCATGTTGGACGGAGGCGGCTGTTTTAAGTTAGGCAAAACGGGTCCGCCAACTCTAAGTGACTCAGCGGAACGAGTCTGAAATCAAAACTATTAGAGGAACAACTGCTCACTCGATCAGCTGAGCTAGAGTTTTTAAAGATTTTGTTTTTCTTATTTGGTTGTTTAAGATTGAACTAGTTTTGATTATTTAGTGAAGGTTATTTTTGTAACTCTTTTTACTTATTATATAATAACATTTGTAAACTTACAATCTGTTACGATCTGTTCATTAAAATATTGTATTTTATTTCCAAGACATGTGAAATTTTATTTCCAAGACATGTGAAATGACCATTTTCCCCCTGAGTGGGTGTCTTAAACAATTTTCCAGCCTTGTCTCGAAACTTATATTCTTATACTTTCTTAAGTTTCAAAACTATTTTCTCGAACATTAGTTCAACGTCGAAAATGAAATTCGAATCGAGACTACAAGGGCACAATTGTAATTTTTGCAATTATGAGGGTAATTGGGTAATTTAAATTATTTTAAGTGGGATTATACCCACATCCGATCCTCTCTCTTCTACTTTCAGAACACACTTTCTCTCTAAACTTTCTTTCTATCTCGAACTCACTCTCTCTTCCTAGCACCGAGAGAAGAAAGCTCTCACTTTCTCACTTACCTTCACAAATCAAACCCAAATTTTACATATTCGAAGTCTATGGGATGCAAGGATCACAATGGTTTTCTTGCATGTGAGATCAATGCAGTGCAAACCTTGGCACCATTAAAGCTGAGAGCTTGAAGCTCTCAAACTCGAACCCAGGTGAGGCCTCTATTTATCCTTTAAATTTATGGGTTTAATCATGTTATTTTACACACCATTGTGTTGGTTTTATGTTGAAACTTGAGGGCTTCAACCTCTGCAATTTTTTGTACCTTCGAACCCAGCCCTGACAACGAATTCCAGTGAAATGAGGAGAGAAGAGAAGGAGAAAGGAAATGAACAAGAAGAAGAAGGAAATGAGGAGAGAAGAGAATGAGAAGGAAATGAGGAGAGGAGAAAAGGGGGTAGGGAGAAGCACTAGCGCAAGGAAGAGATGGAGGGGTTTTATTTTGCAAAATTTTCATTACTGTCGGTTAAAACCGACAGAAGCATTTTTTTTAATTAAAAACCAATAAAAAAATTTCATTACTGTCGATTATAACCGACAGAAACAAAATGGAGGCAAAAATCCCCCAAAATTCCCTTTGAAAATTTTAAAGTTTCCCCCAAAATTTTAAATTCCAACCCCCCCCCCCCAAAAAAAAATTGTTACGATTTTAAAAAATAAAATAATAATTGTTTGGTTTAATAAATAAATAATATGTTTTTAAAAATTAAATAAATAATTGTTTGCTTTAATACATAATTTTTACACTTTTGGTTTAATAGATAATAATCCATGTAAAATATGCGATAAAGAAACAAAAAGAGAATTTTACAATGAAAATGTCATCACACAAACTAAATATTGTCTTATCAATACTTGAAAAACATAAATAAAAAGTTAGCACAAATTACTTTTCCCACTTCAAATTTAGGCAAATTTAACAGAGATATGCATTCTACGAAACTAATTTCCATGATCTAACCGTCAAACTTGTTTGTAGATACTACAAGATCGCATACGTAAAAAATCGTAAAAAATAAACATTCAGATATTACGTAACGGAACAAAACTTTTCAACGGTTATAAACGAAAATTCACAATTTTACGGTTATTTTAGCTTTGATTTTAATGATTTTTTTACAACTACACTCCTTGACCCTATAAGAATGTAATGAATAAATTTGATCTTCAATTTAAAATATTTACACTAGTGGATACCACAAAATCTAATTTTATACTTAATGGAAGTATAACATTAACTCTAAGTATTTGTTTAATCTACCGTTTTGATGCGAGACGCATTCTACAAAGCATTTTTCAACGATCCAACCGTCAAACTTGTTTGTACACACTTCGAGATCGCATACGTAAAAAATCACAACAAAAAAACATTAAGAGATTAGGTAACAAAACAAAAGTTTTCAACGATTATAAACGAAAAATCACAATTTAACGGTTACTTTAGCTCCGATTTTGATGATTTTTCACAGTAACACTCCTCGACCCTATAAGAATGCATTGAATGAATTCGATCTTCAATTTAAAATATTTACACTAGTGG